GAGAAGTATCTCTTCAGTTTCTTAGCCCATTTATTGATTGGTTATTTGGGGTTTTTTGGTGTTAAGTTTTTTGAGTTCTTTATAGAACCTAAAGGTTAATGCTTTATCTGATATGCCTGTGGTAAAAATTTGCTCCTATTCTGTAGGCTGTCTTTTCACCTCATGATTGTTTCTTTTGCTGAGAAGAAGCTTTTCAGTTTGAATCCATCGCATTTATTAATTCCTGGTTTTAATTCTTGTATATTAGGAGTCTTATTAAGGAAGTGGGGACCTAATCCGACATCATGAAGATTTGGGCCTACTTTTTCTTCTATTAGGTGCAAGGTCTCTGGTTTAATTCCTAGGTCCTTAATCCACTTTGAGTTGAGTTTTGTGCATGGTGAGAGATAGGGGCTGAATTACATTTTGCTGCATATGGATTTCCAGTTTTCCCAGCACTATTTGTTGAAGGGCTATCTTTTCTCCAAAAATGTTTTTGGCACCTTTGACTAGTATGAGATAACTGTATTTATGTGGGTTTGTCTCTGTATCCTCTATGCTATACTATTGGTTGACTCACTCATCTTTAACCAAAAAATGGCTCAACTACTTGATTCTACTTGATCTCTCCAATTCTTCCACCTTACATAACAGACATGGGGCAAAAAAAGAGGTAAGTTTTGGCAAATACAAAAAGATGAATGAATGGTCCATTGGTAGAATTTAAATTTAAATGTTGGTAAAACAAGAAATGATGCAAGCAGAAGAGGAGACGTGGGAGACAGAGACTCTGCTTTAAGAGGAGGAATCAGAAAGGGACAAAGTTCACCTCATGAATAAGGTTTGAAAGGAAACCAAAGACGCAAAATGTTTGACATGAAAAATACATGAGGTAGAATTAACAACAAGTAAGACACTGAATAAAAATAAAATTAGTCAAGGGAATGAGAGAATAATAAAACTAAATATAATGGAAAGCTAAGAGAATACAGAAAAATAAATAACACAGCATCAGCAAACTCTGGGGCAACTTTAAATAGCCAAATGTACATGTAATTGGAGTTCCCCAAGAGGAAAATAAAGAATAAAACAAAAATTGTTAATAATACCTGAAATTTTCCTGAAGTCAATAAAAACTATAAGCCACAAGTCCAAGAAAGTCAAATCCACAGCACAAAAAGCATAAAGAAACATGAAGTTACACATGAATTACTTAAAAGCACTAACAATGAAAAAAATCATAAGCAGAGCCAGAGAGGGAAAAGATTAGATGCAAATTTTCCAGAAATAATGCAAGATGACAATATAGCAACATCTTTAAAATATTGAAAAAAAACTAGATTTTATACACAGTTAAAATTGTTCTCAAAATCAAAAACACCATATTTTTACAAGTTCAAAACCTGAAAAAAATCCATTACCAGCAGGCCTACACTATAATAAATGTTAAAGAAAGTCCTTCAAGCAAAAACAAAATGATACCAGGAAAAAAACCCTGGATATACACAAAGAAATGAAAAGGATCACAAATGGTAACTAAGTAAATAAATATAAAGACATGTTTTTATTTAAATTATTCAAAAGGTAATCAACTATTAAAAGCAACAACAATACTGTATTGTGGGGTTTATAATATTGAAAGGTATGAGAATAAGAGCACAAAGGACAGGTAAGGAGAAATGGAAATAATACTGATGTAAAAATATTATTATCATAGTTGAGGTTCTACATATTACAAAACAGATTTGCAGTAAGTTAGAGATATGTACCATAAACACTAACGAAACCATGAATGAAAAAGTTAGAGGTAACAATATAACAAAGGAGATAAAAATAATTTTTAAAATGCTGATTCAATGCAATCCCCATCAAAATATCAATGATGTTCTTTATAAAACTTGAAAAAAATTCTACAATCTGTATATAACTACAAAAGATCCAAACACACAAAGCAGTCATGAGCAAAAAGAACAAAAAGGAGGCATCACACACCCTGACATCAAAATATACTTGAAAGCTGTAGTAATTAAAACAGCATGGTCTTGGCATAAAAATAGACACAGACAAATGGAAGAAGATAGAGACCCTAGAAATAAACCCATACATGGAGAGCCCACTGATTCTCAACAAAGATTTTAAGAACACATAGTAGAGAAAGGACAGTCTCTTCAACAAATGGTGCTAAAGCAATTGGACAGCCACATGAAGGAGAATGAAACTAGATCCTATCATTCCCTGGTTAGAAAAAGCATCTCAAAATGGATTGAAGACTTAAATGTAAGGTGCTATAGTAGGAAACTACTAGAAGAAAACATAAGAGAAATGCTTCAGGACATTGGAAAGGGCAAGGATTTTTTAGACAAGACTCTAAAGCATAGAACAAAATCAAAAATTGACAATTGAGGTTATATCAAACCTAAAAACTTCTGCACAGAAGAGGAAACAATAAACAGAGTGAAGACACAGTCTACAGAATGGAATAAAAAAAAACCTGTAAACTATACATCTGACACAGGATTAATCTCCAGAATATGTCAGGAACTCAAAAATCTCAACAACAAAACAAAACCCTGGCTTAAAAATGAGTAATAGACATTAAGTGTATGAAAAAAAAATGCTCAACATCATTGACCATTAGGGGAACACAAATCAAAACTACAATATCAGCTAACTCCAGTTAGAATGGCCATTGTCAAAAAGACAAAAGAAGTGCTGGTAAGGATATGGATAGAAAGAAACACTGCACACTGTTGGTGAAAAAGTAAATTAGTATAAACATTACAGAAAACAGCATATAGGTTCCTCAAAAAGTTAAAAATTGAACTACCATACAATCCAGCAATTCCTCCACTGGGCATATATCCAAAGGAAACGAAATTAGTATGTTGAAGAGATACCTGCACTCCCACGTTCACTGCAGCACTATTCACAATAGCCAAAAATTGGGAACAACTTAAGTGTCCATAAACTAATGAATGGATAAAGAAAATGTGGTACATTTATACAATGGAATACTATTCAGCCATAAAAAGGATGAAATCTTGTCATTTGTGACAACATGGTTAGAACTGGAGATCATTATGTTAAGTGAAAAAAACCCAGGCACCAGTACTGTATGAGCTCACTTGTATGTGAAATCAGAAAAGCTGAGAGTAGAAGTAGAGACTGGGTAGAGAGTAAAGGGGAGAGAAATAGAAAAAGGTGGATCAGCTAGACAGGATTAAGATTTCTGGTGTGCTACTGCACTATTGAGTGACTATAGATAACAATAATGTACTGTAGTTTTTTTAAAAACTAGAAGAAAGAAATTCAAGTGTTTATAACTATAAGGAAATAAATGTTTGAGGAGATATTTTTAACCTGATTTAAACAATGAAAAATATAAATGTATCAAAATTATCACATGATTACCCTAAATTTAAAGTATAATTTTTGTGGGTTTTTTTAAGTTAAAAATAAACCTAATTTTAAATCTAAAATATTTTTTAAAAATACACAAGAAGGGGAGAAAAAGGAAAATAAGAGGAAAGAAAGAGCAAATAGAACCAAGAGAAAATAAATGGTAAAATGATAAATTTCAACCTAATCATATCAATAACCAATTTACATGAAAACAGTCTAAACACAATAATTAAATGACAGTGATTTTTCACATTAAGGAACAAAGTAAGACAACTGTATGCTACATACAAGAATCTACTTTATAGCAACCAAATGTGATGAAAATACATACCATGTAAATATTAATCAAAAGAAAGCTGAAGTTATTATAATAATATCAGAGTAGATTTTACAGCAAAGAATATTACCAGAAATCAAGTTAATTTCACACTAATAAAGAAAATCAGTTGACAAGGAAAACATTAAAATCCTAAACATTTTTCACCTAATAAACAAACTGATTTCTCAAGAAGACATAATTTTAAACTTAAGCACAAAATTAAACATATTCAAAATAAAAGTAAAACTGATTAAACTGCAAGTAGAAACAAATTCATATAATTATAATCAGAAATTTCAAAATTCACCCCCTGTCAATAATTGGTGGAACAGATGGTCAAAACTGAGTAAAGAAATTGGGATAGTTAATTTTATGTCAATTTGGGTCAACAAAGGATGCTGAAATAGCTGGTAAAGCATTATCTGGGTCTGGGAGGGTGTCTCTGGAAGAGATTAGCATTTCAGTCAGTCAAGTGAATAAAAATTAGTCCCTACCAAAGTGAGGAGGAGAATTCATAGGGAGTGAACTAGAACAAAAAGGACAAGGAAAGGCAAGTTCACTACTCTTCTGGAGAGGAAACATATTTTTGCCTCTGCCCTTGACATCTGAACTCCAGGTTATGGGACCTTCCTACTCTGGGATTAATGCCAGTGCCTTCCCAGGTTTTCAGGTCTTTGGCCTCAGAATGAGTGTTACCAGCTCCCCTGATTCACAGACCTTCCAACATCACCAGCTGTCCTGATTCTCCAGCCTGTGGGACTTCTTTATTTCCATAATAAATACCTTGTTACGCACTGAGTGAAACAGAACTAAAAGAACTGAACACCCCTATAAACCATCTTGACCTACCGCTATCTATGGAATACTACAACCAACAACACAGAATACATATTCTTAACAAAGGTGCATGAAATATTTACCAGGACAGGTCATATTCTTGATCAAAGGCAAATATTCACAAATTTAAAAGCATTCAAGCTATTAAAAATAAGCTCTTAAAAAAACAGTGGTACTAAATTCAAAATGAATAACAAAAAGGTATCTGGAAAAAACAAATATTTGTAAATTAAATAAAAGACTTTGAAAGAATGTGAGTCAAAAAACATTAAGACATGTTCTGAATAGGAAGGAAAATTCAAATAAGCATGTAAAAATTTCCTGGATGCAGCTAAAATAGTACTCAGAGAAAACTTAAAACACTACAGGCAGACTTGGATATGCTTATTCAATAGTGTGATCTATTTTCTTTAAGGATAACTGTAAGGCTATAAATAACAAGTGATGAAATTATTATTCTTACCTTGGACACATTGCTGACATTATTCATTTGGACAGTACTTTCCTTATCAACTTGATTACAAAGGTTCTGTAAAGAAGATGCATATTCTTTATCACTTTTTATCCTCAGAGCCATAAATTTCTTCACTGTTTCCAGCAATCGTAATTCCCAGTCTTGCAATTTTAACACAGCTTCATGTGAGTTCTTCAGGTCACTCCCAAACCCCATTTTTGTAAGGCACTGCTTATCCTCCACACTGTACAAGTGAGCCTTCTAATCAGCACGTATCTGTGTAAGTAAAAATAAAAAAATAAAAAAATCTTAAATCAAGGAAAACAGTCTTCAAAGCAAAGCTATGGCCCATTCCTTTTAGGGATTAAAAAATAAAAGAAAAATCACAACAACTGAATGCTTTCTCCCAAATGTCAGAAAAAGATGTCCACTCTATTGCCGATATCCATTCAGTATCATACTGGAGACTCTGTACATTACATAAATACAAAATTTTAAAATTTGGATTAGAAAGGAAGAAGTAAAACTATTTTATTTGCAGATGGCATCATATTATATACAGAAACCTTAAGGAATGCAACAAAAAAGTAGTAGAACTAATAAATAAGGGCTGGGGTTGTGGCTCAGTGGTAGGGTGCTTGCCTTGCATGCCTGAGGCACTGGGTTCAATCCTTAGCACTGCATAAAAAAAATAGATAGACAGATAAAACAAATGTATTATGTCCACCTACAACTAAACAAAAATAAAAAGAGGGCCGGAGTTGTGGCTGGGCAGTAGAGTGCTTGCCGTGGACATGTGAGGCACCGGGTTTAATCCTCAGCACCACATAAAAATAAATAAACAAAATAAAGGTACTGTGTCCATCTACCACTAAAACAAAAAAGAAAAAAAGGAATTAATAAATGAATTTAGCATAAGATATAAGATAAATATTCAAAAATCATATTTCTGTATACCAATGACAAGTCAAAGATAAAATTAAAAAAAATACTATTTACAACAGCATAACAAAATTTAGAATTTTTTTTATTTTTAGTTGATGATAGATCTTTACTTATTCATTTTTATGTGGTACTAAGAATCGAACTCAGTACCTCACACATGCCAGGTAAGTGCGCTACTACTGAGCCACAGCCACAGCCCCTAGAAATAAATATTTTTAAATGTAAAACCTATACTCTTTTTAAAAAAATCTTTTAAATATAGGTGGACACGATGTTTTGATTTTACTATATGTGGCACTGAGGATCAAACCCAGTGCCTCACACATGCTAGGTGAGTGCTCTACCTCTGAGCCACAACCCAAGCCCTAAAACTTATACTCTTAAAACTATAAACCAGAAAACATTGTTGAGAGAAAATTTCAAAGACCTAAATAAACTGACTAATGTTCAAAAACAATTTTTTAAGTTAATATTTTTAAGAAAGCAAGCCTTACTAACTAAAACTACAAACTTAACATAATTTATATTGACATCTCAGCCAGTATTTCTGCAAGATGGACAAGATAACACAAAATGCATACGATAATAAGGGAAACACAATAATTACCAAAAAAGTCCTGGAAAAAAGAACAAAGTTGCAAGACTTACTTTTTCTGATTTCAAAACTTTCTAAGAAGCTTTGGTACTCAAGATAATATAATATAAACATATGGCCAGACATAGAGATCAATGGAGTAGTAGGCCCTGATAAATCTTCACACTTAAGGGAAAATGATTTTCTATGAGTCTATTCAATAAGAACAAAAAGTACCCTCAACAGAGGGGTACAGGGACAGCTAGATTTCCACAGGCAAAAAAAAAAAAAAAAAAAGAATGATGCATACACAAAAATTAACTCTAAATGAACCACAGATCTAAATTTCAGAGCTAAAAGTATAAAACACTCAAAAGAAAATATAGGTGTAAATTTTTGTAACCTTGGCTTAGGCAATGGTTTCTTAGATACAACAACAAAAGCATAAGCACAGCAAAATATATATACATAAATTAGATTTCATCAAAATTAAAAATTTCTGTGCTTCAAAGCACACCATCAAGAAAGTAAAGAGGGAGCTGGAGATGTGGCTCAGCGGTAGCGCACTCGCCTGGCATGCGTGCGACCCGGGTTCGATCCTCAGCACCACATACAAACAAAGATGTGTCCGCCGAGAACTAAAAAATAAATGTTAAAAWTTCTCTCTCTCTCTCTCTCTCTCTCTCTCTCTCTCTCTCTCTCTCTCTCTCTCTCTCTCTCTCTCTCTCTCTCTCTCTCCTCTCTCACTCTCTCTTTAAAAAAAAAAAAAAAGTAAAGAAAATCCAAAGAATGGGCAAAAATATTTGCAAATCATATATTTGATAAGGGGTCTTTATCTGAACTATGTAGAGAATCCTTATAAATTAATAATAAAAAGACAAACCAATTAAAATGAGCAAAAGATCTTTGATTTTACCAAAGAAAACATACAATGCCCAAAAAGCACATAAAAAATATTCCATAATATTATCCATTAAAAAATGCAAGTCAAAATTTCAATGTGATAGTAATTTGTACCACTTGATACCTATAATAATCAATAAAGACATAAAAATGAGTGTTGGAGAGACTGTTAAGAAATTAGAAGTTAATGCCCTACTAGTAAAATGTAATCTGGAACGGCCACTACAATTTGGCAGTGCCTCAAATGATAAAACAGTGTTGCCATATGATCCAGAAATTCTACTTGTTGGTATATACTCAAGTGAAATTAAAATGTGTTTATGGGGCCAGGAGATGTAGCTCAGTGTTAAAGCTTACCATATACAAGGCCCCAAGTTCTATGTCCAGTACCACATTTTAAAAGAAACAAAATATCTACATGCACACTTGTACATTAATTCATGAAACAACATCATTCTATAGCCACAAAGTGAAAACAACCCAAATACTCCTCATCGATGAGTGGATAATTAAAATATGATCATATTCATATAATGGAATATTATCTGCAAAAGAAAAGGAATGACATATTGGTACAGGCTACAAAATGGATGAACCTTGAAAACATTTTGCTAAATGAAGAAATCCAGACACAAAAGACCACATATTGTATAATTCTTCTACAAGAAATTTCCAAAAAGGTAAATTTAGAGATAGAAAGATTAGTGACTGCCTGAGGTTGTTAAATTTGGGGGAAATATAGAGTTACAGCTAAGAGGTACTGGACTCCCTTTTGTGATAATGAAAACTGATTGAAATAATGATTGCACAATTCTGCGAATGTACTAAAAACAACTGAACTATAGTTTCAATGGGTGAATTCCTTAGTATGTTAATACTATGATTTGTCTAAGGTAGAACCCAAGACTTCATTTGTTAAAATGTAATCACCTTTGTGAGATGTCACAAAAGTAGAAAATTAATAGACTGTGATGTTTAGATGTTGGAACTTTGAAAGGTAATTAGGATCAATTAAGGTCATTAGGGTGGAGCCCCATGATGGAATCCTGTTGGCTTTATAAGAGAGAAAGAAGCCAGAAAACATGCGTACAAACACACACACACACACACACACACACACACACATACACACACACCCTATCTCTTGCCATGTGATGCCTTGCACCACAAGAAGGCCATTACCAGATATGGCCTATTGACTTTGAACCTTTAGAACCCTGAATCAAAATGAATCTCTTTATAAATTCTTTATAAATTCACCCATGTTCTAGCATTACAATACTGGCAACAGAAAATGGACTAATACAATGAACTATACTTATAACTTTAAAAACTTGTTTTAAAAAAACACTTGTTTTAAAAATCACTACAGCATAACTTAATGATCACCTACTGGTCAGTTATTATAAACTTTCCCAAAATATCCACCTTGTCCACTATAAATTCTGAAAACTATGGTAGAAAGTATTTTGTCCTCCAATTTCCTAGAATTTCAGTCATTGAATCTGTCAGAGACAGAAGAAATGCAAAAACACACCTTATATGTCTAATTCTAAGTTGTCCATACCAAAAGTCAATTTTCTCTTAATTCAGCTGATATTCTCTAAGCTACGCAGAAAAACTAGGAGGGGTTTCTCTCCCTTACCTCAGTGATTTAATCTAAAGACATGGTAAAAAATGAGGATTTCCTAACTAGAGAATAATTCACAATTTTTTCCCAATTAAAAGCTGTCCAGTTTTATGAAATATCAGCTAAGTAGAAAAAAATTAAAGTTGTGAAAAATTCCATTTCATTAGTGTTTTCAAAGTAGCAACCAAGACACTAATTGAAACTTAAATCATTAGAAATCAATTGACTTGATTCACTTTAATATCAAATAGGATGATTCCCTTTTTGTTTTGTTTTGTTTTGTTTTGTTTTTGTGGTGCTGATGATTGAACTCTACCACTGAGCTACATCCTCAGCCCCCAGTTTTTGAATTCTGTATGCAATAGCTTTTTAAAAAATTCTTGGGGGCTGGGGGCATAACACTGTGGTAGAGTGCTTGCCTACTTATCATATGTGAAGCACTGGATTCCAAAGGAAGGAAGGAAGGAAGGAAAGAAGGAAGGATGGAAGGAAAGGAGGGAGGGAGGAGCTGGGGGAGGAAGGGACATGGATTGATTTTTGACATATTGTATCTTTTATGGGTCACAAAAATTTACAATGAACATTTTTCTGTTATTTTACCTGCCGCTAACTCAACAAAGTCTGAGTGGAGATATTCGATCTCATTCCATATTTTCAACAGAATAGGATCATATTTTGAAGGCAAAGAAAGGTAAACTATTTCATTCTTTTAAAAAAAACTTAAAGCTGAGATTACAATTCATTTTATTCTGTAACTCAGCATAAATATCATCTCTGCTTCTAAATGCATCTGGATAACAATTACTTTCTTTCATTATCAAGAACTTCAGAAGGATTGTGAAAGCACTGAAGGAAAAAAAAGGAAAACAGAATCTGGCACAATCTGGGAAACACTCCAGCCCATCTTAAGGTCAGAGTGTGGGTAAGATAACTTAGTATATGGTACCTCTCTTTCTTTAAGTAATAAAAAAATTACAAAAATTTTTTAAATTCTATAATAAATTAAGAATATATATAATTGTTAGACTGATAGTTATTACAAATACTTAAGAACTTAATAGAAGGATATGCTCCAAATAATTATCCCATAGAAGTCAAATAACTATTCATTGTAACAGTGTTTGCAATTTTTAAAAAAACTAGAAATATTAAATATCCACCATTAAGCAGGCTGCATTTGATTATAGTTGAATAATTCCAGGGGTGCAATTCAATCATAGACTG